CAATTACAGCGAAGATGCTTTATTATCGCTTGCAATGCGGTTGTTAAATCTGGATCATTGCAGGATTGTTTCTTATCTAATCTTACAGCGAGCAGCAAAACAGACATTGGCCACAGTTGGATGAGCATAAGCTTATCTGTTTTCTTTTCTCCTTCTTTTTTTTTTTTGCTGTCATGCCCATGGCCCTGTAAAACAGTGCAGTGCGATGAAAATATATGAACAATGTCTGTTTTAGTGCGAAAGCATCAATTAATCAGATTGTCTTCGAATGAAATGTATGTTCTTTCACTTTGATTGCGAAGAGCAGCAGATAAATCTGTAGAAGTCAGCACAAAGACAAATGCGCTTTAACGGAAATGTTTAAATATTTCACAAATAAGGTGCGAAATGCAATCGAATTTCACGGCATTGTCGACTTATGCGAGACTTTTGCGTCCCTCGTATGTTATATACATGATAGCTTTATCAGTTATCTGGCTTTCGATGGCAATATGGTTCCGCTAAAGACTGAGTGGTTGACTCCCCGCCAGCATTCAATGATTACATGTGTTCCAGCGAAGAGGAACGGGAGTCGAGACTTTCCCTTTCGGTGCCTTTTATTATCAATCAACTTTGCAACTCTTGCTTTTAGTAAAACTCACTATTCTTTCCTTCCAACTTCCAAATATAATTGATGGCCCAAAATGCGTCTTAAGCCGTGCGTGTTTTATGAGTTCGGCATAGCTGTCAATGGCTGGAATAGCTCCGAGACGAACGAATGAGTGTAGCATGGCTGACCTCTAAAAGGATAAAATATTTACAACATAGCAATTCAATTTTGCACTTCCTCTATAGTGGAACCGTCGCGGACTTTTGATACCATTTTATTGGATTTGAAATTTTTCATTTGCAATTTATGGTAATTTTGGACAAAACTTAATGCGAGAAGTTTTCTTAAATTATTACTTACTTCGGCATTAGCAAAATATTTATAGTCATTTTTTATTTATTGCTCGTCTAGCACAATTATTCTTTTTGAAAAAGAAGAAGACACAAACTGTTGTATACAATTTTGACATTTTTAATACCCACAACCAGTTTCTTTGGCAAAAAAAGACAACTTTTCAATAAATTGTTTTTACTTTTCATTGTTTATGAATGCATTCAGCTGAAAATTGCTTGCTGGATGTTGTGGACTGTGTTAGCTCACTTTAAAGGGACATATGCGGCTATTCTTTGTGAAGTGATTTAGAAGAATACCGATACAAATTTTTCTGTTCGAACGCAAGGGCTTATTCAACTTAAGAAATCACTCTCCTTTCCTTTGCCTAATCTTTTATCTCAGTTTAGACGATTGCTATAAACATATGCTTGAATTTATCTTATGCTTTAAGATGGACTTAAAATGGAAACAAACTGCAATTATTATTTTCTTGTCAACACAAGATAAGAGGTCTGAATCGAACCGAACCGAACCGGATCGAATCGACGTCGCATAGCTTAAGAGTTGCGAAACTCGGCTAGCAAGTGATCGATCACGAAATCAAATTTGGTGCCGGTAGGTTACATTTTGTCGTAGCTGTAGCATGTGCTCAGTTGGTAAAAGTAAAATGGACCCTGTGTCCACTAGACTCCGTTTAGATCTCATCTCGTTTTCACTTCTTTCTGTCCAAGGGTAGATGGACAAAAAACCAACTGACATGTTTAGGAGTTTTTATGGGGTTTTTTTAGGGTTTTTGAAGTTTGCTTCTACGCGTTTTAAAGTTATTGAAAAAAATATTAAATTTTGATGCCCTATGATGTTAGGTAGGCGCGATCCACTTTCCAATCTTTTGTACAGCCCCTAGAGCCTCGGGTATAGAATATGCGTCCAAGCTACGGCTTAGGAGTAATGCAGGAGGAACCAATTTTTTACTTCTTTTGTGAAATGAAAGTGTTCTCAGTTAACGTTTTACTATAGGCGTGTCTCTTGATCGATTGGGCCCGTTTTCAATACTAACTTGCGCTCAGTGTTCCTCCCAAGTTTGAGAGTTCATCAGTCGATGGGTTCATTTTTCCGGCCAGGAGAATATTTACAGCAAAAAATGCACCGATGGACAGGCGGACATGTTTAAATTCGCTCAGAATTTGAAGCTGATCGAGAATATAAATATACTTTGTGAGGCCACTGAAGCTTCCTTCTAAGCGTCGCAAACGTTTTTACAAAGTTAATATACCTCTCATCTCCTTTAAGAATTGGTTTCGAGCAACTCAACGGCTAGCAAAGTTTCTAAGACCGAATACTTTTTTTCCACTCTATAACATATTCTCAGAGAATATTCATAAATTCTTAAATGTTTCTTCCCATTCTATTGAATTCCGGATGTCTCGGATAAACGGATATTAAATAATATAATAATTTATTTGCATAGAGAAATGGCTTTTTAATTAAACAAAAGAGCACTTACGCAAAGCAATTAAGCTAAGGAAATGTTTAAACATATGTACGTACACTTATTTGGAGCATTAAAACAAGAAACAGTTGCCAAAACGAGAAATGCAAGAATATGCAATAGTTATTGACTGACAAGCTATACGGAATAGAATAGGAAATGCAGCAATACGTGCAGAATATACTAAACCTTATTATGTACTAATGTCACATATATGAACTGTTTAGCCTTCTGTTAGTTCTTGTTTGTTTTTCCATTTCTTTGTCTATCATTCTTTCCATGCGTCGTTAGCATGAACATATTTGTCATTTAAACAGCATAGCAGACAGAAGGGCCATAATCGGCGAACGGGGAAACGTGATGACCCATTTTAGAATTAAGTATAGTAAATCTATGTAGACGATAAATGTATCGAAGAAGGGCTAGGAAAGAAATAAGGAAGTCTATCGTTAATGCGTTCACTTGCGGCCGTTTTTAAATACACAAATCATTTATTTATTTTTCTCAGTAGTTCTCTTATTCACTGACTGATCGATTAATGGAAAAGCGAAGAATTATTATTTTTTTTGCAAATGTTATCAAAACTTACAGAGATTGATTTTAAAAAGTTTACTATCGGAATAATGTCATACCACAACATAATTCGATTAAATGTTTTCAGTGTAGGAAAGAGATGTGATTTGTAGTTTGTATACCCTACGAAGGTACATTAAATTTGTACGGGTGTATGCAATAGCCAGAAGGACTTAAGATAGATGCATCTTTTATTATACCGTTATTTAGGAAGTGATACGGAATCGATCTAAACTTCTCCGTCCGCCCGTCCGTCTTACACTCTCGTGTTCACGTTGCTATTTTTTAAATATTTTGAAGAGATTTGATACATCGACACGTTTTGGCCCCCGGGACGAACGCTATCAGAAATGATCACGATTGTGCCCATCTTTTAATAACTGCAGGATGGTGTAGGGTGTTCAACCTGTTTTGATTTTTTTTTTTTTTTTTTGGAAGTTTATGTTTACCTGAAGAGAAAGCATTACGTATGCCAATCATTCGTAGGAAGCAATCAGTTGTCGACAGTTAACAGAGATTTAAAGCGTCAAACGGCTGCCTAATGCGTTTTATTAAGCGGTGATGGACTGTTGAAGTTATTACAATGTACTTGTTTACAGCGGACAAATTGAAAGATCCCAGTGGAACAATTACTTATTACTATATAATAAATTTAACAATACACTGACTTTTTTAGTCAGAAAAATCCATTATTGTATCACGGAACATTTGTATGACAAGCAGATCATCATGAAACTCTTGGCCGACATTACGACTAAATGCTGGGCAGAACCGAGGACTTTAAAAAGTGAATCTTAAATTTGTGGGCATGAGATTCAAGAATTTTATGTGCACTTCATGTTTGATCAGACCATCTTTAATTGCAGCTCCGATCCCTCCTTAAAGTTATTTTAATAAAATTATATTTTTAGCTGGAATACTGCCTTCATTAGCGTTATTGTTTTTAAAAAACAAACAACATTTTTAGAAAGCATCAGTTCACATATAGTCTAAATATGAAGAAGTGGATAAGATATCTTTAATAATATTTCCATGCTTCGGGGAATGCTGTTCCTTTCTCTCAATCGCGGCTTTCTTATTTACCTCATCATATGAGATATGATTTCGCTCTGCTTACAAGATCGTCATTTTTTTGTCTATTGTCAGTGAATGCCCCCCATACGTGGTGGTTAGAAAGAAATAAGTGGAAAAAGAGAGATGAAGAGTGAGTAGCCGCAGCCTAGGAGATGAGTTCGCAATCGGTGAGTGCTATGCCTTTACCGATAGGGTCCTCGTTGTATCTTTGACCAAGTGTGGTCAAACCGTACTGAGATTTACTTAAATTAAATGAAATCCTCACATCATGTACCACTTTTAGTAGGTGAGTGAGCCGATAGCCTGTGTTGCTAGTGCTCAATGTCTTTTTTTAGTCTAAGAATTCATTTCATTAGTCTAAAATTAAAATAATAATAATAATAATAGTAGGTGAGTATTAGGTTTGTACAGATGTGCGTAGCAACACTTCATTTGATTTCGAACGAAGATTTAGGCCCGTCTGTCTGTCCGAGTGCTTGTTATTTATGCACATCTGCCTTCTACAACATTCGTCGAAAGAGGAATTCTATTCAAAGTGGATTGTCTATCGGATCACTTTCTGACTAATCCCCATATAGAAAAATCCCCGTAAGAAAGGCATTATATAAAAAACTACTTATTTCTGGAAACTTTTGAATCTCTTGCTATATACACGAGTGTCGTTATGTGACAAGATTTAATTTTTAGAATTTCATGCAAAAATTTCAGCAATTTTATATGTATATATATATAGGAAGGACAAAGTTCTATTTTTCGGCGTCCTTCTCATGCCAGGCTTCTAGTGAAAAGTATGTCTTTATATATGGAAAAAGGAAAAGTTTTTTCAAATAGGAGAAGTAGGGCGACGTCTTTAATTCTATGATATTTTTCTTCTTTTTTTTTAAATTTTTGCTGAGAACAAACAATTTTTCTAAAATTGGATTTTTTCTTTTCTCTTTTCAGGTTTACATAAAAAAAAAAAAAAGAAAACACCGATGCAGAAGATTCTCAATACAAAATGTTTTCACCAAATTCCTAAAACTTTTATAAAAATAATATTAATCGAAATATTAATCGATTACACAGAAAACCAATGAAAGACGATCGCTAGTTTGTCTTCCGATTTTATAACGAATTCAAGAAAGACTAACGAGTTCAATTATTTTAACAAACGCTCAATTAAGTACGCGATTAACTAACTAACCATAAATCCATATACAAACACACGGTCAATTTAAAGTTAAAGGAAAAAAAATGGATATGAGCTTAGAACGAGATAGCTCCGTATTGGGCACACTCTTTCAGCAGATTATCAACGATATGAAGGTAAGTGTTATCAATAATACTTCACTTCTTTAAACGGCAAAAAACTAAATAATTTATGATTCATTATCGTTACGATTATATTGAGTTTATCAATTCTACCATAACAAATTTAATTAACTACTACAAGTCTTTACATAATATTATTACATCGAATAGATGCCCCTTTTTTGAAACATCAAGTCCGATCGTTCTGTTCCGTATCTAGAAAAGTTTCCCTTCTGTTACAATAAATTTTCGTTTGAAGTCAAACGAAAATTCTTTGCTTCTTTTATATCCTCGGTTGGTTCAAAAATGAATTAGCAAATGACAGAAGAAAGTTGAACGCAGTTACATCAAGTCAATGGGTTGTAAACTCGATTACGTTGCTTAAATGTTTGGCTCAGAAGTCTTGCGCAATGCTACGCAAAGTTGAACTCTTTCGGAACTATTTCTTGAACACATTCCGGACGAAAAAGCTCCAAATCAATTCAGAAAATGACTCTGAAACAATATGCTTTGCATTTTATCCTCACAAGTTTGATATAGAAAACAAGCAAAAACGCTCCCGTTGGCCTCAGCCCACTATTAGACACTTTGCAACCAGAGACTATCTCCCAGTCATTCATATAACGACTTCCCAAAGAAAGGCGTGGTAAGTTAAGCGGTCAAAAAGTAGTTTGATGCAATCCAATTTTCAATAGCGCCCTTTCGGGGCACCTGGGGAGCCCGTTTCGTAAACCGATATAGAATGTAATGCATAAAAGTACTCTAAGGAATATCCTGCAAAAATGAAACTCATTAACACACTACTAATCTAAATATTTACGGTTATGATTTACTTCCTCCATCTAAATATTTTTTCAATACCGCAAGTTTTCCTCCGTCTTGTTCTAGTCTTCCCGTCATTATCTTTTTCTTATTTATATATTTTCATATTTTTAAATTTGCATTGGCAGATTTATATGGAAAAAGCCAAACACACTGTTAATATTTATCTTAAATTTTAAAACCTATACACAATCTACGTGCGTGTATATGTACACAGTCATTAACGTATAAATACCATGAATTTCACCATACCGTAGAAAATCATAAACTCCTTTGCTAGCGAACACCGGCCGGGTGCTGCGAAATGATTTGCAGTACGCCGACAGTGCATGCTATTTATTCTACGCCAATATTTACACATTCCAAAAAAATACATTGAAGCCATGCGCGCTGGCAACTTGAATTCTTGTGCACATTAATGGTCCCAAGCGTTCAGCAAGGATTGCCGGAATGATTGGTTCTCGCAAGAAAACCTTGAAAGAGTAAGGAACCCCGTTGAAAAAGAGATTATTAGAAAAAAAAAAAATTAATTAATACATACAGTGGGGTCGATAGAAAAATAACACATCACTTAATAAGTCTCCCTCCAATTCATGTGATTTCTAGATCGTATCAATTTTCAAACCGTATGAGTCAAAATTGCACGACAGTCAGAGAGAAGTTCCGTATCGTGGATACGAAGGAACCCGTCGACACAAAATTTGGGACAGAGATATGTGCATACGCGGCGATAGGTTTAATAATTTCTCTAAGAGTCATGAATTTAGCCAAGCTTTATGTAGAACTGTATCGCAAAATGAAGTTATCGACTTTAACTTTGATGGAAACATTGGAGATTCCCGCAAGCAGATCGATGTTGAAAATAAATTAAATCGGTCCAAGGGGAATTTCTACAGTGCAGAATAAACTGAAAACATCTAACCTTTCGGGGCATTTTGGCCTTCATTTGCAAACTGCAATAGACCTATGGGAAAAATTTCCGCGTACATTCTACAGAAATGGACGCAAACAACTAGTGTGTCACGTCCTTCCAATATTACGGAATATGAAAATTTCTTTAGTCTCCTTTAGGATAAATTTTACGGAATTCGGTCAGAGCCGAATATGATTTCATTTTTTATATTTTACTTTTGAACATGTTTTGATTTTTACAGGAACGCTCAGCTTATGAGGCTCATTATCGCGGTATAATTTGTCATAAAAACACTGTTTTTTTTTCTTGTTTTTACATAACTCAAAAAATATGTGTTATGTTTATATGTAACTTGAGTGGATAAATAAACGAATTTAAACTTTGAACACCTTGCCGTCCAAGATACAGGACTATTTCCTTAGTGTGAGTCGGCGAGGCCTCATATTGGCGCGGTTTGTTGTAAAAAAATTATTTCGAACTTTTTTAAAAAATATTAACGAAACTTTAACGAGTTAACTACGTCGACCCCTTTTAGGGATATACTTGTATACTCATCAAGCCCTGAGTGTGTGTAATAGAAAATTAGGTTGCAATGAAACGACTTGACAAAATTATAAAAATATCCCTTTAAAAACATTACTATTACAAAATGGATGGATAGACGGATCATGACGTACGCGTTCATCACATGCAGCTAAAGGAGGTCATGTAATTAAAAGATAATTCTTATTATTGAAAATGTAATTGGAAAGTGCTTCGTTTTCGATTGCGCTTTAGCGAGTGCGATGAGTGACAGGCAGTGATATCTGGCACGGATATGGGCAGTCTACCCAACATCAAATGTTAGCGACCTTACAATTTTTCATTTTATTTAAAAATTTAAGATGATTTCCATGACCTATTTAAGTATTGATAGCCATGTACAATGGTATGTGTAAGTATATTAAGTTGTCCTGCTCTAAAATTTATGATCGTAAACCGTGGGAAAACTCCATATGCAAATGCTTCTCTGTCCATTAATAATCAAAGAAGAAGAATTTGAAAGGATAGCCAAGTTTCTACACCTTGGATACGTATTACACGAAGACTTGGACAGCGTGATAGAAATGAGGAGAGAACTAGAAATGATCATCGTTCAAGAACTATCGGAAAATTCTACCAAGCCGGAAAGTGCTTTGCATGGTCGATGCTCTTGTCTGATCTAGAATCATGAAAATTTAGAAATCGGGACTGCTGCAAGCCGTTAAGATGTGGTGTTACTGAAGTCCTGAGAAGAGAAAACCTTTGAGTGCGAGCTATGAAAATGCATTAAAAAACGGAAAATTACGTATTTTGTGCTTGGGATACGTGGAGATAATTATGAACTCCTACACTCAATAGTGGCAGTCCGTATCGAAGTACGTAGCGGTTTGGGTAGAAAACAAATTTCATGGCTGGAGGGAATTTTTGGACTTTAATTAACAATGTAACTTGGGTAACAATATTATGTAAAAATGTGATCACCTAGTAAAAGAGATAGGCTTCTAACAAGTTCAGAAAACATGTTTCTAAATGTCTTGCAGCTGTTAGCAAGAGATTGTTTATACGAAAAACTAACAATATTTGAAGCTTAACAAACGTGCCAACGAAACGTCGAATCGATATTCGATTATATTTAACTTTTACTTGTTTTGAAATTATTGAAATTTGCTTTTATTTTGGCTTAAGTTCAATAAAACACTACAACAACAAACAACTTTTGTTTGTTTACTATCTAAGGTTGCATTTTCAAATTCTGTGCGTTTTTCAAAGTGTAATGTTATTGACATTCTTTAAATCCCACATTCTTACCATTTATATATTAAATTTTCTGAGCAGTAGTGACAGACAATTGTTTCTCTAATTGCGCTTATTTTATATCGTACGTTTCATATACAAACCGGCATTTATTCGCATATTTGATAATGGAAATAATTGTAAAAGTTTTAAATTTCCATTTCAAGTCTAAAAATAATATTTGCTTACACACGACACCTGCTTGCGCAAAAACAAAAAAAGGTCACTTGTATACTTGGTAGAGAGGTATGGAACAGAACATGACAAAAACAATATATAAACCATTTATGGATAATATTCTATAAAAGCAGAAGCATTAATTCAGAAAAATCTTCTTTTGCTTTAGACGAAGAGAGACAGAGAGAGACATAGCGAGAGAGAAATAGAGAAAAAGAAAGAAAAAACACAAGTAGTGAAGAATTAAATAACCATAAATATATATGAACGATTTATATGTATGTCAAGAGCCCGTGTAGTAGCCGCAAAACAAAATGGAAAAAAAAAAACAAGTAAGAACATTGTAGGCGGGCAAGGCCGACCATTAAATACCGTGCGCCACATTATCTAACACACCTTTTATTTTTTTATGAAATTACTATTAAGGGTCAATTTTTATCACCACATGTCAAATTTAGGCTTTTCTGATCTACAAAGGATCAATTCTCGCGAAAATCCTTATTAGAGTTAGATCAAAAAAACAGGCCGAGAAAGGTCCAGTTGATTTGGTATACTCAATTGTTTTATGTTAAACTTATTGTCGTACAAACTTTAGTTCTCGCTGTATGAGCGGTACAAAAATTGCCCAAACCGGTCCAAAGTTTTCATACCAATTTAGAATGCCAAAATGCTACTTAGCTACTTTTGCTGAGAAATTTTGAAAAGTGCATTTTTTTTTTTCCAATAACGACATTTCAGAATAGGCCATTATATGGGGAATGGTCGAAAAGGTCGATCGATCCGAATCATTTTCAATAGCGCCCGTCCTCGGGTCAAAACACGTAACTATACAAAATTTCATCGAAATATCTCAAAAATTGCGAACTGTAGTTTGAACTCAAATTTACATGGATAGACATCAGACGGACAGAGACAGGCTTAGATAAATTCATATTATGATTCTGAATCGATCGGTGTAATAAACGATAGGTTTATCTTAAGGCCTTCTGCTAGTTACATACGACCGCACTAACTTAATATTCCCTGTACCACAAGTGGTGTAGGGTATAAAAAGTTGAATAAAAAAAAAAAAAAAAGTGAATTTAATAAAAAGCATTATGATAATAGACAGTCACATAAAACATTTAGCAAAAAATTTATCTCCATATAAATATAAATTATTATTGTATTCAAGGTCATTATAATATAAAATATAACACATGGAAAACATATGCATTAAAACAATAGCAAGTCATTAAGCTAAACTTAGTTTTAATTAATAGGTTTCCATAAAGAGAAAAACGAACTT